AACAGATCAGCAGCAACACGGAACAGATCAGCAGCAACATGGAACAGATCAGCAGCAACATGGAACAGATCAGCAGCAACATGGAACAGATCTTCTCATATTAAACTAAGAAACTGCTCAGACCCATCGCCAGCATTATAAACGATGATGCAATATGAAAACCTGTGCTTGTGTTTTAGCTCCTTTAGTTGGAAACGTCACATAAATAACTCCATGACTTTTGCAAACGAAGTTCAACATTAGAAGCTGGCTCCAGAAGAAACTTTTGTATCATTGGATTTCACTTCAATTTCTAGGCAGAAACTGTCACGAAATGACCTGAACGCAGATGACGGATGGATAAATACAAACCTCTGCGTCAGCTCTGCAGTGTCCAGGTCTCTCTGGCTGCTGGTCTGTATGTGTACCTTCAAATTTTGATCACAGACTGAGAGTGGGGGCATCTCAACGGTGGAATGATTTGTTGAAGATTTCAGACTGACAGGAGAGTTGGGTGTGGACGTCAGAGCATCCTCAGCAGCTCTGACCGTGTCCTCTGTTTTGGTCCCGACTTCCAAAGATGATGAGTCCTTCTCCACGCTGTAAATATAAACACATTCTGCTCAAGTGTGGTTTTGGAGAAAGTGACTCATCAGTTTAGAGACATTGCTTGTTTCATGCGTACCTTGCATCTTTTGTAGCGTGAACCACAGCTGCACACAGTGCTCTCAGCTGGTCCAGATGTTCTGGGTTGCTGACTGCCATCCCTGTGTTCAGAATCTCTGACTGTACATTGTACTCATTGATGGAAGTTTTCATGCCCGGCACCCGGGTGACTCGTACCTGAAGAAAATTAGAAACTGTGAAAACAGGCCGTTCCTCAAAGGGTTACCTCTCCGTTACACGAACAAATTAACATCTACTGGTGTAAATTCAGTCTTTACTTTTCTCTTAGCTTCCTTTAACTGCGCTGTCTTTGTGACATTTGTACAAAGTAAATAACTAAACGCAGCACAACAAGTATAGAAACGTATGGTCGGTTAAATATTACTTTGTTGTAACTTTGCTCCTTGGAATTAAACTTAACACTGGGAAGTTTATTCCCATTAAACGATGCTGCACTTGTGATTAAAATGCATTTGTGTGAGACTGCCCCCCCCCCAAAAAAAACAAGTTAATATCAGTTCTGTTTACTATATTTCTGTAGAGAACTGTCCATTAGGGCAAATTAAGCAAACCTTTATTTAAACTCATATAAGCATTTATACAGGGCTTAATTAAATAAATAATTGATATTGTAAAGTGACATGTTCATATTCATTGTGTGTTCAAAGACAATGATGAACTTTGAGCTCTGCATTTTCCACTCACACATGATACAACCAAGTGGAGTAACAAGTGACAAGGGAGCAATCAGGGAGTAGGTGTCTTGCTCAAGAACACCAAGACACATGGGCATGGCGAGGAACCAAACCTGCAACTTTACGGTCCCAAGTCAACTGCCCCAAAGTTCTGTCATTTCATCTGGACGGTTTCTTTTTTTGTTGAGACGTTTTGTCCTTCATCCAAAGGACTTCATCAATCCAAGGAGACTTGTTTTGTTGTGGTGACACAAAGAGGCTGTAAGATAGTAGGGATGGGGCCGATCCAGTATCGGGCTCTGATATCAGCATAATTTACGTATCGGATTTTTCCGATCCAACCTGCAGAGATTTCTGATCCATGATGCACGTCTGTCTCCAAGTAAAACGTCTCCACATGCGATTCCATGCCAGCTGCGCTCCACGTTGGCTTCAAACTATGGAATGGATTTCCTGAACGGAGGTGTGTCTCATGAACCCAGAGTAACAAGACCCGCCTCACATTCAGGAAATCCAGTTCATAGTTTGCAGCAGCTATAACGTGCAGCAGCACCGTGGCTAACAGCTAACAAACTTTTCATCTAAACATGTCGCTGTGTGGAAGTACTTTACACTAAACACCACAAAACAAGACAGAAACGTGCAACGCCTGCAGAGCCATAGCACCACATTAAACCGCGGTAAAGTTAGTTTTATGATGGACATTCGAGCTCCTTGGTTTCAGCGGTCTGTTATTTTCGTTTAGTCCGGAGACGGCAGTCTGATTTCGGTCAGCCGTGTTCGGTCTGTCCGTGTCGGAGGAGGGGCAGACTGAGCGCGGCTGACAGAAATCAGACTGCCGTCTCCGGACTGAACGAGAAGAAGACACCGCTGAAACCAAGGAGCTCGAATGTTTACCGAGAAGTTGCTAAACTTCATCGTAATTAATGACCAACCA